TAGTAATAATAGTTGACATTTTTGTAATTAAATATCAAATCAAAATGTAGTCAAGAACAAATATGATTATATTAATACAGTCAACTCCGGATATAACGAATCTTTTATATAATGAACTTTTTTTCAAATTTATTATAAGTCGGGTATATAAAATATAGCAAATTACTATATCATGAACTTTTGAAAATTTATTACTATAAGACTCGTCAGTTCGTTATATAAAGAGTTGACTGTACTTGGTTTTTTGGATTTTATTATAGCTAAAAAAATTATTGTTTCTATAGTAAGATCTTTAATATAACGTATATAAAACAATTATTTTCGCAAGTACATAGTTTTGATTTCATTAGATATAGATTCTTTTGGCGTAAAATATGTTTTCTTAATAAAATTGATCTTCCGATGTTCAGGCTTTGTAGTCGTTTTTCCTGAATGAAGTATCTTCGCAATAATATTATTATTGTGGGACAGATGTTTAGCTTTATTAATTGCATTTTCCTATTATCAAAATTTTATAAGCGATTCATATCATTAAAAATATTAAAATAGTCAAAGTTGAGCTTTCTTACCTTAAAAAAATATAAAACTTCAAGTGAATTTCTTAACACATTAATGTCATTTAATTGTGCGGGAAACCTATATGCTGGTCCTTCTAAACTGAAATACAAGCCATCGTCAAGTAAATCAATTCCGAAAATTTGTCCTTCAAGTCCTAGATCAATAATAGGTTACAACCATTATTATTGACAATCATTTCTAAATATTATTTAGTTACCAGCTGATTGTAATCCATAAAAGGTAGAATTTTCAATAGCCTCTTCAGGAAGGTTATGCATGAGATAAGTATCCAATATACATTTATTAGTTCTTATGCATTTACTGCGATCTTTGATTACTTTTACTGGTGTTGCTTTACGTGCAAATTCAGAATGTGACAAATCTACATTATTGTCAATAGACAATACCCTTAAATATATCTTTCGGTTCACAGTAGGCCTAGGAATTGTCTCACCCCTATAACATCCAAAAATAAATTAGATACAATCAGAAACTATACTATTACCTAATGAATATTACTTACCATCTAAGATAGAGTATGTCATAGTTATTTGAAAAAATTATATCCAATATAGGACCCGATACTTTCGTAATATATTCAATTTCTGTCAAATTCTTTTTTTCACCTTTCTTATTAATAAAAGAATATGGATTTTCTAATAGCATATCGATTCTAACAATAAAATGTTTTGAGATTAATTATAAGTATATATATATATATATTTGAAAAAGTATATAATAACGTACAAATAATGGTATATTTTTAAAACTTGACGGTGTTTATCATCATCAGGCCTTTCCTTTAATTTATCCAATAGAAAGGAACGTGCATCCCAATAGCGATACGAAGCACATAACTAATATTAGAAGTAAATGTAATTAAGTATGCTATGTAATATAATAACAATATACGAACCTCTTCTATCTTAATGATATCAGATAAAATGTTTCCTTCGAATTTTTTTACTTCGAAACATATTTTCTCTGAAGCCTTCGTTTTCAAGCCTTCCCACTCATCTCCAAACCATGTATGCATTCCTCCGTCAAACTCTGATGACAAATCAATAATAGATGAAAGGCCAAGCCTATTTATGTATATATATGCAGTTAATGTATACTGTAATATCAAAATGATCTTAACAATCATAATATACCTTATAACGCTCATAAATTTTCCATCTACTTTTGCTAATTGATTTGCCTCTTCAATTTTCTGACGTGTAATTTTTATTAAAGTATCTCTGATTTTTTCGCCGTTATTCAAGCACCATCTCTTCTCACTACACGTGTCAATCCACTCATCAAAAGAAAAATCTTCAAAATTAATAATTTCTCCCCAGTCATCCGAATCATCGTCAACTTTTTCAGTTTCACCTTTTTCTTCGCTTTCACCACCAGAATCATAACCGCATGTACGTCTCTTAAAGCCCTTTATAAAAAAGTTCCGTATGAAAAATATTTTAATCGGATATACTATCAAAATCAAAATCACTAATGAGTAATAGATTACAAATATCAGACTTCAGCTAGTGTCAGTTCCTCATATTTATTTGATGTACTTTCTTTTCGTTTACGATCAGCAGTCGTGAGATCATTAGCAATGTTCTTATGAAAATTCACTACTGTAACGGTATGTTCTTGCAAATTTTTTGACTACATCAAAAAATAAGGATTAGTAGATTTCAAAAAATTGTAAATAATTAACAAAAGGGTACCTTTATTTCCGCAAGCTGTACAGTTTCGTGACTTTTCATCTGTGCCAGTTGAATAGCTTCTTTCTCTTTTATTTCTCTCAAATCTTGCAAATATTTAAAATAATTGCTCTTTATTTTAGTCGATTTCCAGGACTACAGAATTTTTGAGTAAATTAAAATTAAAACCTATTCTTTATAATACGAGAGATTATTTTATATATAAAAGGCTGTAGCGAACTAACAGTTCAACACCCAGACGACTAACAGTCCCGTAATGTGCTACAGTACAGTAGGTTATATTCTTGAACTAAAGCGAACTAACAGTTCAACACTCAGACGACTAACAGTCCTGTAGTGTGCTAATAGCTCAACACAAATGAAAAACTAATACTTTCCTCTAGTTTTGCATGCATAGAATTAGCTATTAGTCTGGAAGCCTCAGAGATAGGAGCATTACTCGCGTCCTGAATAGCCTTTTTCATGCTATCCAAGAGCTTTTTCTTATCGCATGAAATATTAATGGCACACCACTCAGCCAAACCATCAAGAGACCAATCTTCGTGAGATGTTTCATAAAAATATCCGGTCATAGTTTACTAATACGATATAAAGAAAATAATTTTTAGTATAAAGATTTAATTAGAAAAATACGCGGTTTTGTTACGTGAAATTATCTGACAAGTAATAACAGATAAGGGAATTACTTTGTTGATGTGCCTACATATACGTATAAATTATCAAATTTGTAAATTTAGTGTAACAAAAAACATGCACATACGCGCGTTTGGAGACCGAATCTAGAATATTCTCTAAAATTTAATTGGTAGATATGAACTTTATTATTTAAAAAAAAGTTTTTAACTGATATTAGATATGTTTTAATACAATTAATTATTAAAAAATATTTTTTAAAATTTGTGGTTTTAGAATTTGTGAGAATATATAGAAGTTTATAAAAAAAGTTTTTTATATTTCTGTTTAATTTTTTAAATATAAATATAGTAAATTCAAAAACAGAAACTAAAAATTTATTTTATATATTTGGTTTTTTTATTAAAAAATATTTTTTAAAATTTGTGGTTTTAGAATTTGTAAGGATTTATAGAAGTTTATAAAGAAAGTTTTTTTATATTGTCATGTCCATAATTTTCTATTTCTTTATTTTTCTTTTATTTATTTTTTTTTTCTACTTGAATAATCTTGCTCTTTCCTTTATTATAGAAAGTTTATTAAAAGATAACATACAGTATACTATTATATCTCAACATAACTATATACTGCTCTAAGATTTGGTCTGAACTAACTCAGCTACA